GTCGAAGGGGGCAAAAATGACTTCGCGGCTACCTCGTTTAGCAACAGAAACTTTGGACTCCATTGTGGTGGTACGTGGAGGACCTTGATTCCCACGTACGCAAAATGTCTGTGCATGGTAGTCCTGGATGGGCAGTGTACCGTCCGAAGACAATCCCCTCAGCCGATTTCCGTCGCGGGGGTGGGACATAGGGAGCCTGTGTTTTCATGGCACTTGCCCGGCGCCGCGTTTCATACGTGCGCACACTCCAACCCACACACAAAGACACAGGATCTCCCTTGCACTCGTGGGTGGCTCTGCAGGGATGCTTACGCCATGAGGCTGGGCTGTGTTCATTGTCTGGGCACAGGGCAGCCTTTATCCTTGCCAGGCTAGTGATGCCATCTGCTACATCTCATTTCCCTGCTGAAGGTCTCCTTTGTGAGCCCTGGGTTCAAGACCTGCCTCTGGGCCATCCGGTTTGCTCCCTCTTTTAGAGAGTGACGGAGTCTCTAAAATGAGCGAGAACATGGGGTTTACCACGCTTATAAAAAAATGAGCTTCCGTTGTTGTGGCCAACATCTTGACGTACTTGAGGTCCCCCGATGCAATTTCAGCTTGGTTTTTGTCTTGCAGACGTTTCACGACCCAACTAGGGAACCTCATCAGTGCTAGTGAGTGGGGCGTTTGCAAACTCCCCGAGCCAACTGCATTCCTTTCTAGCGCTGATGATGTCACCTACTTGGGTCATGAAACGTCTGCGAGGACGCAGCCAAACTCAAGGAACACCAAGGACCCCTCCTCCTCCTCCTTGCCAATCCCACTCCCTTCTAGCACTGATGATGTTAGCTACTTGGGTCATGAAACGTCTGTAAGGAAACCATCCAGCTAAGAGACCACCAAGGACCCCCGCAGTCCTCCTCCTCCTTTTCCTCCTCCTCCTTGTCACAAAAACCATCCCCTCCTAGCACTGATCACATTCCCTAGTCGGGTCGTGAAACGTCTGTAAGGAACCCATTAAGCTCAGAGACCACCAGGGACCCCACTGTTCAGCGCTGAGTTACAAATATTTATTTATTTATTTATTTCTAAAATTTATATGCCGCCCAATCCCAAGGGACTCAGGGCGGCGCACAAAATTGAAACAATAATATGACAATAAAACAATAAAATAAATACATTCGTACAGCGTGTCCGATCATATCCCGCCGCCCCCCCGCCCCCCGGGGACATCAGCCCCAGGCCTGCCGGAACAGGAGAGTTTTAATGGCTTTCTTAAAGGCCGGCAGGGTGGGAGTATTTCGAACCTCGGGGGGAAGTGGATTCCACCAGGTCGGAGCCACCACAGACAAGGCCCTTCCCCGAGGGCCCGCCAGTCGACATTGTCTGGCCGACGGGACCTGAAGGAGGCCCAATCTGTGGGACCTCACCGGTCTCTGGGAGCTATACGGCAGAACTATATTCTGTTCTATTGAGTTTCGCGACCACTCCCTGTAGGACCTCCCCCCCCTTTAACTGTGGCCTTTATGTCTTGGTTCACCCCAAAGTCTTAGCCACGCACCCTGTGCAGAATCACGGCAGTTGAGTTCACCCCTGGGTGTGGGCAGTACAGAACACGACACAGAAACGGCAAAATAGATGTTGCGCCATCCCGGGGGCTGCCCCAGGCTGTTGTACTTGCGTCCTGATGTCTGATGCTTGGTGCCATCGGGCCGGGGCCTGTGTTTTGTAATCTGTTCCTCCCTCCCCCCCCCCTGGCCACGTTGTGAGATTTTGTGACTAAGCAGGTTCAGGGTAAGGTTGCTGCGGTGTGTTGATTTGCCGGCTGGTCTTGCCCAGAGGGGAAACCACCTGTGATAGGTTGGACCACGTTGGAGAAGTAGAAAGCCTTGCGGCCTTCCTTTATTCTCTCAGGATCAGGATTGGTGGAAGGGAAGAGGGGAGGCTGGGTTACGGAGTCCCCTGGCTGGATTACGGCGTGTCCTCCACGCTGGCCACCGCTCAGCAGCGCGAAGGGACAAAACCGGCTTGTGTAGTTAGTCCTCGGCTTACGGACGGCAATTGAGCCCAAACCGTTGCTAAGCAGGATGGTGGATAAGGGAGACCTCCCCCCATTTTGCAACCTGCTTTTCACGATTGTTACGGGAATCGCTGTTAAGGTAGTCACACGTTGTTTAAGTGAATCTGCCCTCCCCGTTGATTTTTGCTTGACAGACGGTCGAAGTTACAGCGGCAGCGAAAAACACGACTTATGAGCATTTTTCACGCAACCGTCGCAGCCTCCCCGTGGTCGCGTGAGCAAAATTCAGACGCTCGGCAACAGACTCCTATTTATGACAGTCACAGGGTCCCTGGGCCATGTGATCCCTTTTGGCGACCTTTGGACAAGCAACATCCACGGGGGGATGCCGGGATTCACGTAACAAGCGTAAATTTGGCTCGGAAAACGGGGCCAACTTCACGGAACAAACTCGCTTAGCCACAGAAATCCCGGGCTCCCTTGCGGTCGTAAGTTGAGGACTCTCTGTAGCCATGCCAGGAGACACCCCCCCACACTCTCCCCTCTTCCCCTGGGGTTGCAGTGCCACTTTTAGCACAGACGGCGGGTTGGTTTTTTTTTTTTTTTTGCAAATCGGCAAATCGGCGGCGTATGTGTGCTAAGGAATGTGGAACGCCACGTATGTGGGAGGGAACAGATGGACACGGCTGTCTCTTTCGGGAGGGATAGAGGTGAACACAAATAAGTGGCTTTCCGGGGGGGGGTGAAAATCGGACTGGGGGGCCACGGGTAAAACTCCTTGGAAACACCCCCCCCTAATGCTTGCTTTCTTCTTTTCCTACAGAGTCGGGGTCCGCATCATGGCGGGAGAGTAGCCGTACCCCCCCACCAGCCACACCTCGTGGCCCGAGACGGCGCATGGGCCCGGTGTGGGGGGGGACCCAGCCCATGAGAAAGCAGCGAGGAGAGCATGTTCCTCCTCTGGTGAGTGGCCAAAGCAGACCCCCGCGCCGAGTTGCCGCCTCGTTCCGTGTGTGTTTCCCATTTGCACGTCCGTCCTTGAGTTGTGTCCAAAACTGAGCCTTGAAACTGCGGACATTTACGAAGCGAGTTTTGCCTCAGTTGACTTTCCCGCCCCCGTTGTTAAGCGAATCGCCGCCGTCGTTAAGAGAGTAACGGGGTTGTTAAGTGGATCCGGGTTCCCCCGCTGACTTTGCGTGTCAGAAGGCCGCGAAAGGGAATCGCGTGAGCCCGGGAGACACGGCGACCGTCACAAATACGAGCCAATGGCCAAGGGTCTGAACTTTGATCCTGTGACTCTAGGGAATGCTGCAACGGTCGTAAGAGTGAAAAACGGTCAGTTGGAACGGTCACTAAATGAACTATTGTAAGTTGAGGACTCATAATATCGGCTGCCCATCGAAATGCTTTCTGTGGCTGGAAATTAGTCCTCGACTCACACCCATTCATTTAGCAAAAGGGTTCAAAGTGACCGTGGCCTTGAAAACGTGGCTTACAACAGATCCTCATGCTTATGACCATTGCAGTGTCTCCACAGTTACGAGATCAAAATTGAGGCGCTTGGCAACCGGCATGCCTTTACAACAATTGTGGGGTCATCTGGATGTCCTTTGCAACCTTCACAGCCAACTTTTGACGAGCAAAGTCAAGGGGGGAAGCCAGTTTCGCTTAGCGACCACCGGATTCTCTTAACAACCGTGGCCAAAAAAAAGGTCCAAAAAAAAAAAAGGGAGGTGCGACTCGCTTAACAATCGCCTTGCTTAGCCATGGAAATTCTGCTTCCGTAAGTCGAGGGCCCTCCCCACCCCTTCAAAGTGTGTCTGGAGAATACGCAGAGTTGCCCGCTCCGGGCCGCTGTCGGGAGGGGAGTGGAACTAATGCAACACGAGAAAGTAAATCCTCACCAAAGCAGAATGGGTTTTTCCGGTCACCCGCTGACAAATCAGATGCATTTTTGCAAAATGGAAATTGTGAAATGAGGACAGCGCGGCGCACGTTAGTTGCTTAACTGGAGGCAGAGTCGGCGGCTTTTGTTTGGTGTGGCCTTTTGGGGGTCAAAACCTCGGTGGGCACACTGCCGTGTGGATGTTTGCACTTTCCCTGCGCATCAAAAGCATTCTCTCTCTCTCTTTCTCTCTCTCTCTCTCTCTCTCCCCGGAATGCGTCTTGCACAAAGGCACGACGCTCGCAGCTGCTCTGTGCCTCGTCCCACCCCCTGCAAATGCTGCCTGCGGGCCAGCAGTGGACTCCTCCATGCTGTCCCCGCCCTCTGGCGCATGGCCAGAGAAGCAGCTGGGCCTGGTGGGTGGGAGGGGGAGCGCAACGGGGAGGGAGGATCCACTACGTAAGGGCTGCGGGGAGGAGGAAGATGGAATACGCCGGCGTGAGCCAGTGACTCACTCACATGCTTCCCCAAGCAGCCACTGTGACCTTAAATGGCTCCTTGTTGGAGTGAACAAACAATTAACCCCCCTGCTGCCTTATTTTGCCCTACCTCTCGAGCCGGGCCCCCAGACAAACCCCTCCCACGGCACCTGGTGTTTTACCCAGAAGCCTCTTGGGAAGTGCAATGTCTGCGCACGTACTCCTTTTGCGATGTGTTATGATCGAAAGATGGCCAGGCTACAGGTGAGGATTAGTATCTGTGTCCTGGCACTGTTGTCTGGGGGGTCCCCAGAACGAAGGTGAACCCCCCCTTTGGACATTGTAAACTCTGACCACCACCCCCCTGACCGAAAACATGCGTGTACATCTTTCTCTCCTCTTGGAGTCTGCATGCACCTCTTCTCTTTTTTACAGGTAGTCCTTGTCTTAACAGTATTTATTTATGATTTATTTATTTATGAGACTTATATACCGCTTTAAGTGCAAGCACTCTCTAAGCGGTGTACACCAGTAAGCAATGTATATATATATTTACATTGCTCCCAACAATCTGGGTCCTCATTTTACCTACCCCGGAAGGATGGAAGGCTGAGTCAACCTTGAGCCGGTGAGATTTGAACCGCTGACCTGCTGAACACAGTCAGCTAAAGTGGCCTGCAGTAGTTCACTTAGTGACTGTTTGAGGTTACACAAAAGGGACTTAGGACCGTTTGTCACCCTTAGCAACTCTTGCAGCTTCTCTGTAGCCAGGCGATTGACGTTCAGACACTTGGCAACTGACTCATATTTACGACAGTTGCAGTGCCCCGAGGTCACGGGATCCTCTCTTGCGACTATCTGAAAAGCAAAGCCAACGGGGAACCCACTTAACAACCCTGTTATTAACAACCGCAGTGATTCCCTGCGGCAGGAAAGATCGTACAATGGGGCAAAACGTATTTAACGGCTGTCTCGCTTAACAACAGAAATGTTGGACTCACTTGCGCTCGTATGTCGAGGACCGCCTGTACTGTACTCTAGTGTCCTGGTCAGCTATCCCTAATCCCGTACCCTGCGCAAGTGTCGGGGGTCGATGATGGGAGACGTAGTCCTAAAGTGCCGGACAGGAAAGTGCCCCTGTGGGGGCTCTCTTCCCGCCCGCTTGCGAACCACAAAGCGGCAGACATTTGTATTGTTGTAGCTGAGAGATGTCGGTCGCGCAAGTCCTCTAGACGCGCTGTGAAAAGTGGAACTCTGTACCCAGTTTGTTTGCCTTGTGCGAGGCTGAGCAAGCAGGGATTCTTGTGTACATACGCACACCCTGGCCACTTCGGTTTTTTTCGGTGCACAGGTATGGCGCCTGAAACGTTTTCTCTGGGCTGGCAGGCGGGCCGAGGCTGCCCCGGGAATTTCTTTGGATCCAGCAGGGAAACGGTTACAGATCCGATGACGTGAGCACAGGCTGCTGCCGCGGCACCGACAGGAGCTGGCACGATCCTGGCGTTCTTTGCTGGCATGGCCAAGTTCTTTTCTTTTTTTTCCTCTTTCCTTACAATTGTTTAACGGTTGCTTTGGCAATGCTTCCGCCGTTCCCTGCTTGGCACCTGGATGGGCAGGGAAGGGAGGGCTGGCGTGGAGAAGACAGGGTTTGTGCGACACAAAAGATGCCGGGTTCTTGTTCCGTGGCTGCTCCTTCGGGACACACCAGAGAAGGACAATAGCCGGGCTTTGCCCTCAGCCCGCTTGAATGCGTGGGATGGAGCAAGAGGGACTCTTCCACAGTTGTGCCGTTACGAGGTGAAGGCCCATGTACACCGTGTACGGGGAACCGCCGTAAATGACCTTTTGGTGGTACGTGCAATGTGACATCGCTGGCGTGTTTGTCTTTGTCGTCCTTGGATCGTTGGCTTGGTCTAGTAGTGCGTGTAATCGTGCATTTTCTGAGTGTGCCTCTGTGGTGGTCCTTTTCATATGCGCGCATGGAACAGCCCTCCGAGAAAACACACCGGTAGTGTACAGGTAATCCTCGACTTAGTTCATTTAGTGGCCATTCGGAATCACAATACCACTGAAAAACGACTTAAGATTGTTTTTCGCCCTCGTGACCCTTTCAGCATCCCTTGTGGTCACGTGACCAAAATTCAGAGGCTTGGCAACTGACTCGTATTTGTGACGGTTGCAATGTCCCAGAGTCACGTGATCCCCTTGTGCGACTTTGGGACGAGCAAAGTCAAGGGGGATTCCTTTAACGACCGTGTGACTAACTTAACAACTGCAGCGTTTCACTTAACAACTGTGGGAAGAGAGGGGGGTCAAAACTCGCTTAACAACCGCCCCGCTTAGCAACAGAATCCTTGAGCTCCGTTGTGGTCGTAAGTCGAGGACTACCTGTACCACGAGGATCCCTCTCTGCATTCAAAATTTAGACATGGCATGGTGGTCTCTGTAGCGTGAAGTTTGTGCTGTGCTTGGTTTTGCTTATGAACCTTCGCAAGGATTGAGCCAGCGCTGCGCCACCGAGGCGCACGGGAGCAAACTGGCTGGGATTCCCTGGTAGGGCAGGGCTTCTGAAGAAGTGGGGATGGAGGAGGGACCTAGACATGTAGGGTTGATGAAGTCATTCTAGCCCTTTAAACCGGGACAAATTTTCCGGGGGAGGGAAGAGGCTGAGTCACTTGTGGCCGGAATTTACCCCACACACATGCTCCACTGACTTGGCAGGAACCCCGAACCCCACATGGTGGCCTGGGTGGGGGGGGGGTGGATAAGGAAAGGGAGGAGAGAGAGAGAGACACACACACACCAGCGGAAAGGAGTTACGAGCGACATTCGCCTAGTATGTCCCCATTGCACATTAGTCGAGGCACCGGAGACGCTAGTAAACACTCCGTTCGCTGCCGGCGTGAGAGCGCCACGCCTCTCACGTCCACCCTTTGTGTGCCAGGAGGTAAGGCATTTCTGCCATCTCTCTCTGTGTGTGTGTGTGTGTGTGTGTGTGTGTGTGTGTGTGTGTGGAGGGGGAGATGTGTGAGCAGAGGAGCGAGGGTGTCTCTCTGTGTGTCTGTGTCTCTCTGTGTGTCCACGGATCTTGTCTTTCTTTTCTCCCTATACAGCAAGTGTACGCCAGTACACCTGGTCCTCGGAAGACTGGTGCGGTTGTGTTGTTGTAATTTAATTAGGCTCACAGTTCATGTAGCCTCACCCTGTTTGATCCCCTTGGACCATCGCCAGTTTGGATCGGGTATTTGGGTTGATGTCTTTGACCCGTAGGTGCTGACATGGCTTTTGTTGTTGTTGTTGTTTTAACCCTTCGGCCACACTTTCTTGCCTGTTAAGAGAGCAGGATTCACCTAAGGGCACACGGACACGTCTCTGCATGTTGTTTTGTGGTTTAGAAAAGTTGTGGCTGCCAATACGCAACGGGTCCCCGAGACCGGGGGGTGTGTGTGTGTGATTCTCTTCACGAGCGGATTCCCACAAAGCGCTGTGGGTCCGTTTCATGGGGTTGTGAGGTCATGGCCGGTGGTTAAGGGACCAACAAGGCAGAATGGAAACTTTGTGCCCGGGCCATGTTGTGTTGAAACTGTTTGTGTGTCTGTAATTCTCTTTCCCCCCCCCACCCCCACCCCAGCCTCCCCAAATCTTGGACTTTGGAACTGTTTTGTAACCTCAAGGCAGCTTTTGTTAACTTGCTCTCCTCTTTCTGATGGATTGTTGAGATCACAATTCCCAAATTCCTCCTTTTTCCTGCCCTGATAGTTGGGAATTCTGGGACCTGTGACCCATCTCTGGAGGGGTGGGCTTGTGTCGACTTTTGGTGGTGTTAAGATTAATATTCTCTGGGTGCCTCTGGGCAAATGTCTGTGCTCAATTTGTCAGACACAATTATTGTACTGGGACACATAAATTTCTCCCCAACGTACAGACAGTTCTCGACTTATAACAATTCGCTTAATGACTTTTTGAAGTTACAGTGGCACTGAAAAAAAAAGGGATTTATGACCGTTTTTCAGACTTACGACTGTCGCAGCGTTCCCGTGGTCACGTGACCGAAATTCAGACACTTGGCAACTACCTCATATTTATGACGCTCGCAGTGTCCCTGGGGATCCTGGGGATCCCCCCTTTGGCCAACGGGGAAGCCAGATTCACTTAGCCGTCGTGCTACCCACTTAGCGACGGCGGCGATTCACTTAGCAACGGTGGCAAGGAAGGTTGTAAAACGGGGCAAAGTTGACGTCACAGCTGTCTGGCTTCGCGACAGAAAATTGTGCTCCAATTGAGGCCGTGCGTCGGTTTCTCTTTCTGATATTGATCGAGAGAGAAGAAGGGGAATTAATTGGCAGAAAGAGAAGGGGATTTCCCACCCGAAAGCTCCATCTACAAACCTCGCGAAGGGGCTTTCCTGCGCTGTAATTCCCGACCTTTTGCCTGGCCCGAGGCCTGCGCCTGAAACCCATCGGGTGAGTTGTGTGTGTTTATCAGGCTGACCTTTCTTGGAAAAGAGGAGGAGGCAATCACACAACTCCCAACCGCACAGTGCAGCCCGTCAGCTTTCATGCATCATGTTCTCTGCTTCTGCGTGTCTCCTCACAACACCCACATACATACAGTGTGTGTGTGTGTGAGAGAGAGAGAGAGGGAGAGGGAGAGGGAGAGAGAGAAAGAAAGGGAGAGAGAGAAAAAAAGAGAGAGAGAAAGGGAGAAAGAAAGACAGAAAGAAAGAGAAAGAGTGAGAAAAAAGAGAGAGAATGATAAAGAGAGCGACAGAGAGGGAGAGAGAGAGAGAGAGAAAGGGAGAGAGAAAGAGAGGGAGGGAAAGGGGGAGAAAGAGAGAGAAAGAGAAAAAAAGGGAGAGAAAGAGAAAGAGAAAAAGAGAAAAGGAGAAAGAGAGAGAGAGAGAGAGAGAGAAAGAGAGTGTGAGAGAGAAAGAGAGAGAATGATAAAGAGAGACCGACAGAGAGAGGGAGAGGGGGAGAAAGGGAGAGAGAAAGAGAAAGAAAGAAAGGGAGAGAAAGAGAAAGAGAAAAAGAGAGAAAAGGAGAAAGAGAGAGAGAGAGAAAAAGAGTGTGTGAGAGAAAGAGAGAGAATGATAAAGAGAGACCGACAGAGAGAGGGAGAGGGGGAGAAAGGGAGAGAGAAAGAGAAAGAAAGAAAGGAAGAGAAAGAGAGAGAAAAAGAGAGAAAGGGAGAAAGAAAGAGAGAAAGAGAGAGTGTAAGAGAGAATGAGAGAAAAGAGAGAGAGAAAGAGAGAGAGAAAGAGAGAGAATTACCCACACACATTTTTTAAAAGGAATTGATTGGTGTACAGGTAGCCCCCGAGTTGTCACCATGACTGAGCTCAACATTTATGTCGCTAAGCGAAACATTGGTCAAGTGAATTTTGCCCCCTTTTACGACCTTTCTTGCCACCGTTGATAAGTCAACCACTGCAGTTGTTAAGCGAGTAACACGGTTGTTAAGTGAATCCGGATCCCCCGTTGACTTTGCTTGTCGGAAGGTCGCAAAAGCGGATCACACAGCCCCAGGGGGACACTGCAACCGTCATAAATAACGAGTCTGTTGCCGAGCCTCTGAATTTCGATCCCGCGACCACGGGGAGGCTGCGACGGTCGTAAGGGTGAAAAAACGGTCCCAAGCCGCTTTTTTTTCCGGTGCCGTTGTAACTTTGAACGGTCACTTAAGTGAGCCGCTGTAAGCGGAGGACTGTCCGTATTGCTGTTTGCGTTGTGTGAGGAATCTCATTCAGGGGGTTGTGCCCAGCTCTTGGGTTAGTCAAAGGGCAGGGATGTTGCGATGTGCGCGGTGGCTGCAGTTGTTTGAATCTGGTGTGTGTGTGTGTGTGAAATTGGTCATTCCTCGGGCTTATTTTGTCCCGACAACCGAGGTGGGTGGCTTTCGAGAACCCCTTCTGCGCTTTTGACAACAACCCGTGTGTCTCTTCTTCCTCTTTGTGACGACAGCGTACAAACCCCTGTGTGCGTGTTGAACGGGCGGAAGCTACGTTTTCCCGGCTGATGTTTATTGTCGCGTGTCTGGGAGAGCCTGTGCGGTCTCGTAGTTGGGTGTGAAAACAGGACACCGAGGGGGGGGGCAGGTGGCTGATTTTTCAGGTGGATGGACCAAAATTGCCCCCCCCCATGCTCCTACCTCCCCCTATATTCAGCCCTTTTCGGGGGGGGCAAAGAAGGGGTGGTGTCCTTGCTGACGCTGACTCAGTGCTGAGACAGCTATTCTGGTAAGCGTGTGGGGGACCTTGCTTTGTGCTGCGTGAATCACACCCGCTTACACACCCGAGGTGCCCTACGCCCCCCCTTCCCCACTACCCACCACCTCTAAAAAAAACAAATCCAAGCTGCACATCCGGCAGGTCCCTACTACGGATCCCACTTTCCCGTGCGTTTCTTCCTGAGCCTGTCGTAGGTCTACACAACGGGTCCCCAACATACAACAGTGGTAATCGCTTGACATTACCACGGCCCTCAGGATCGTTTTTCACACTTGCGTCCCCGTGAGCACGCGATCCAAATCCGGACGCTTGGCCGCCGACTCGTGTTTATGACGGTTGCACTGTCCTGGCGGCGTCCCGCGATCCCCTTTTGCGACCTTCCCGCCGGCAAACGTAACATCTGTGTGACTCACTTAAACAACTGCAGTGATTCGCTTAACGACGAAGGCAAGGAACGAGGCCTAAACTTGCTTAACAAACGCCTCGCTTAGCCCCGGAATTTTTAGGCTGAATTGTGGTCGTTAAGTCGAGGACTTGCAGCGTTCACGTCTCGCCTATCCTTGCCCGCTTGCACTTTTGCTCACCCAGATGACCGGGAAGTGTTCCCACTTATTTTGCAAAG